CCACGTGGGTCGTGGTGAGGGTGTTGTTTGAGAGGGTGTAGATGACCACGTGTGTGTGTGTGAGAGTGTTGTTTGAGAGGGTGTAGATGACCACGTGAGTCGTGGTGAGGCTGTTGTTTGAGAGGGTGTAGATGACCACGTGAGTCGTGGTGAGGCTGTTGTTTGAGAGGGTGTAGATGACCACGTGTGTCGTGGTGAGGGTGTTGTTTGAGAGGGTGTAGATGTCCACGTGTGTGTGTGAGGGTGTTGTTTGAGAGGGTGTAGATGACCACGTGTGTCGTGGTGAGGTTGTTGCTTGAGAGATTGTTGATGTCCACGTGTGTCATGGTGAGGGTGTTGTTTGAGAGGGTGTAGATGTCCACGTGTGTGTGTGAATGTGTTGTTTGAGAGGGTGTAGATGACCACGTGTGTCGTGGTGAGGCTGTTGCTTGAGAGGGTGTAGATGACCACGTGAGTCGTGGTGAGGCTGTTGTTTGAGAGGGTGTAGATGACCACGTGTGTGTGAGGGTGTTGTTTGAGAGGGTGTAGATGACCACGTGTGTGTGTGTGAGGGTGTTGTTTGAGAGGGTGTAGATGACCATGTGTGTGTGTGAGGGTGTTGTTTGAGAGGGTGTAGATGACCACGTGTGTGTGAGGGTGTTGTTTGAGAGGGTGTAGATGACCACGTGTGTGTGTGTGAGGGTGTTGTTTGAGAGGGTGTAGATGACCACGTGTGTGTGTGTGAGGGTGTTGCTTGAGAGGGTGTAGATGACCACGTGTGTGTGTGTGAGGGTGTTGTTTGAGAGGGTGTAGATGACCACGTGTGTGTGTGAGGGTGTTGTTTGAGAGGGTGTAGATGACCACGTGTGTGAGGGTGTTGTTTGAGAGGCTGTAGATGACCACGTGAGTCGTGGTGAGGGTGTTGCTTGAGAGGGTGTAGATGTCCACGTGGGTCGTGGTGAGGGTGTTGTTTGAGAGGGTGTAGATGACCACGTGTGTGTGTGTGTGAGGGTGTTGCTTGAGAGGGTGTAGATGTCCACGTGAATCGTGGTGAGGGTGTTGTTTGAGAGGGTGTAGATGACCACGTGAGTCGTGGTGAGGGTGTTGTTTGAGAGGGTGTAGATGACCACGTGGGCTGTGGTGAGGCTGTTGGCTCGGGCGATGTGCGCATGTCGGCGGGTGGGTGACGTGGTGCCGGCTGTGTGTGTCGGGTGTTGGGTGGATGCCGAGGGTTGGGGTGCGGGGGTGTGAGGGGTGTTAGTGGTTGTTGAGTGGGGCTGTAGGTGCGAGTGGGTGTTGGCCGGGCGGGGATGTTGGTTGTTAGAGCATTGGGTGTGTGCAGTGTGTTGAGTGCAGTGTGTTGAGTGGGGCTGGGGCGCTGGGTGGGGTGGAGTGTTGTGAGTGGTGTAGGGTGTAGGGCAGGTGTAGTGTCTGTGTGGTGTGGAGGGAGCGTGTCGTGTGGGTGTAGAGTGCCGTGTGTAGTGTGGAGTGGGTGCAGCGTGCATGTACGGTGTAGAGCCGTGTGTGTAGGGTGTAGTGTAGCGTGTGTAATGTGAGTGGGTAGGGTAGTGTGTAGTGTAGGGTGTAGTGTGTAGATTAAGGTGTAGAGTGTAGTGTTGGGTGTAGTGTAGTATGTGTAGTGTGTAGTGTAGAGTGTGTAGTGTTAGGTGTAGGGTGTAGTATAGTGTGTAGTGTATAGTGTGTAGTGTGTCAGGTGTTGAGTGGTGACGCTGCGGTTGTCCAGGGTTCGTGTGCCCCCCCCCACTCCCCGTGGTGGCTGAAGGGGTTAAAGCCGGGACGTGAGGGGGCGCCTGGGGCCAATGGCGGAGTTCCTCCCCCTCCCTCCCTCCCTCCCCTTCTCACTCCGTGGCTTTTACTCCCCCTACCTCCCCGTCTCTCCCTCCTCCTCCCCTCCTCCTCTCCCTCCCCTCCCCGTCCCCTACTCTGTGGCTTGTAGTCGTCCTGCCTCTTCCCACTCTCACCTCTCTCCCTGTGCGTCTCTCTCCCTCGAATCATTCACTGTCAGTGGGCTCGTGTGTAGGTGGGTTAGGGTGTAGGTGGGATAGTGTGTAAGGAGTAGATGGGCGAGTTGTGTAGGGTGTGGGTGGGTGAGTAGTGGGCTCGTGTGTAGGTGGGTTAGGGTGTAGGTGGGATAGTGTGTAAGGAGTAGATGGGCGAGTTGTGTAGGGTGTGGGTGGGTGAGTAGTGGGCTCGTGTGTAGGTGGGTTAGGGTGTAGGTGGGATAGTGTGTAAGGAGTAGATGGGCGAGTTGTGTAGGGTGTGGGTGGGTGAGTAGTGGGCTCGTGTGTAGGCGGTGCTAGTGTGTAGGTGGGCGAGTGTATTTGCATGTAGAACTTTTTTAACACCGCACGTAGCCACCCACCCGTGCTAATCAGAAGTGTGGGGGGGAGGCAGTGGAAGGACAACAAACTAAACACAACAACAACAAGAAGCAGTTCTAAAGAAATGAGTTCGTCAATCTAGATGATGATGATGAAGATTTAAAAGTGGCATCGGAAGAGAGCGTTCCAGACGGCCGTGGAAATGTGTCTGAAAGTGCCGCGTGGCGATGCAGTGACCAGCATCTCTGTTGGATGATAATTTTCCGTAAGCCGCCGCTACGACGAAGATCACGTGATGGTCTGTCCTCCCTTCGAGATGTTGGCTCCCTCGCCCGGCGTGCGGGGAGGTTCCGTGGGTTCGATCCCGACCCCTGACGCCTGCTTTCGTGACTGCAGGGATTCATCTTCTTGGTTCTTTCGGTAAAGTCACGTAGAAGGGAAATGATGAAGTAATTAAAAGAAAACATAATAAAATAATATAATATATTAACATAATATAATCAAATAATATCATATAATAAAATAGTAAAATAATATAATATAATTATATTATTATATTTCGATTTAAAGCTTTCGTGACTGCAGGGATTCATCTTCTTGGTTCTTTCGGTAAAGTCACGTAGAATGGAAGTAATAAAATAATAAAAATAAAACAAAATAAAACAATTCAGACGCTGTCTTTCCGACAGACCTGTTCTTCACCTGAGGACGGCTGCTTGCGTTGTGGCCGAAACGTCGTGAAAATTATTTTGTTATGTTTTATTTTTATTATTTTATTACTTCCCTTCTACGTGACTTTACCGAAAGAACCAAGAAGATGAATCCCTGCTGTTTTTTCGGAGTCTGCGCGTGTCTCTCCACTCTCTCTCTCTGCCCCCGTGGTCGCGTGGATTTTTCTCCGGGTCTTCCGGTTTTTCCTCCCTCTCCACGTTTAGAATCGACGTCGCTTTGCCTTCAGAATATTTGGCTGCTGTACACGGACGATGGTAGAGGGTGGAGGGCGAGAGAGGCCGACTCCAATATCCGAGTAGCGATCCACAGATGCATTGTGACGCTCACGGGAGCTCTAAACTACATCACTGTTTGTGTTATTTATCAGCAGCTGTGTAAGGCCCCGCTGAGTTGCTGTGTAGCAGCTACACCCCTGGCCATCACCAGTGATAGCAGCTCAGCCACGTGGTGTCTCATCATCATCATCATGATGTAGAAATGTACAGCAGCAGGCAAAATACTCAAACATTTTGTATGTTCCTAGAGACTCCTATAGACCCAGAGACTCGTATAGACCCACAGAGACCCGCAGAGACCCGCAGAGACCCGCAGAGACCCGCAGAGACCCGCAGAGACCCGCAGAGACCCGCAGAGACTCGCAGAGACCCGCAGAGACTCGCAAAGACCCGCAGAGACCCGCAGAGACCCGTACAGAACCATATAGAGCCACAGGGACCCACAGAGACCCAGAGACTCGTATAGACCCGCAGAGACCCGCAGAGACTCGTATAGACCCGCAGAGACCCGCAGAGACCCACAGAGACCCACAGAGACTCACAGAGACCTGCAGAGACTTGTATAGACCCACAGAGACCCACAGAGACCCACAGAGACCCACAGAGACTCGTATAGACCCGCAGAGACCCACAGAGACCCACAGAGACCCACAGAGACCCGCAAAGACCCGCAAAGACTCGCAGAGACTCACAGAGACCCACAGAGACTCGCAGAGACCCGCAGAGACTCACAGAGACTCACAGAGACCCACAGAGACTCACAGAGACCTGCAGAGACTTGTATAGACCCACAGAGACCCGTACAGAACCATATAGAGCCACAGGGACCCAAGTACTCAACGCACGTAGATTCCATGCGTGGTAGACCCGGAGAAAAATGCCCGCCAACGCGGTGAAAGAGAGAGGGGCGCAAATTCAAAATGTACAGCAGCAGCAGCAGCAGGCGTCAGGGGGTCGGGATCGAACCCACGACCTCCTGCGTACCAGGGCGAGGGAGTTAACATCTCATAGCCACCGAGATGATGATGAGAGATGCAGACTCCAAATACACAGCAGCAGCAGTAGCCGGCGTCAGGGTTAGGGATCGATCCCACGACCTCCCGTAGACCAGGCGAGGTAGTCTACATCTCCTAGCCACCGTGATGATGATGATGAGAGAGACGCAAACTCCAAATCATACGGCAGGCGTAAGAGTCGGGATCGAACCCACGACCTCCTGTACACCAGGCGAGGGAGTTAACATCTCCTAGCCATGAATGTCTGTGTGTATGTTGCACTTCTTTAGCACCGTACGTAGCCAAGCGTGCTCATCAGAGGTGAACACGGTTTGTAAAGAAAGGAGTTTGTCAATCTCGATGATGATGATGATGATGAAGATTTGCAGGTGGTGGTGGTGGTATTATCTCCCAGTGGCTTCCTCATGTCGGAAGGAAGAGAGCGCAAGCGCGTGTGAAGGCGCCGCTGCTGCCGCTGCTGCTGCTGCTGCTGCCGCTGCCGCTGCTGCTGCCGCTGCTGCTGCTGCTGCCACTGCTGCTGCTGCTGCCGCTGCTGCTGTGTTGCTGTGTTGACCAGAGTTCACTTGATGTGTCTGCGCGCGTGTAGATCTGTGTCTAATGTGTGCATGTCTACGTGTGTGTCTGTATGTGTGTGTGTCTGCGCGTTGCCGTTGCAGCATTTCCAGCTGGCGCTCATCGACTCCAGCCCGTGCTCGCTCTCCAAAGCCGAGAGTGAGTGCTCACCCCCCACCCCACCCACCCCCCACCCCACCCACCCCCCACCCCACCCACCCCCCACCCCACCCACCCACCCACCCCCCACCCCACCCACCCCCCACCCCACCCACCCCCCACCCACCCCCCACCCACCCACCCACCCCCCACCCCACCCACCCACCCCCCACCCCACCCACCCACCCACCCCCCACCCCACCCACCCACCCACCCCCCACCCCCACCCCACCCACCCACCCCACCACCCCACCCCCCACCCCACCCACCCACCCCACACCCTCTCCACCCACCCACCCCCCGCGTGCCCCCCCCACACCACGGTGGGAGGCCGTGCCCGGCAGTGATGTGACATTCAGTGATGATGATGATGGTGATAATGGTGGGAGTTGGAGTGAGAGCAATGGGTTGTTGTTGGTGGTGGTGGTCTGGGTGGTGATTGCCATGTGGTGGTGGTGGTGGTTGTGGCGGTGATTGCCATGTGGTGGTGGTGGTTGTGGTGGTGGTGGTGATTGCCATGTGGTGGTGGTGGTTGTGGCGGTGGTGGTGATTGCCATGTGGTGGTGGTGGTGATTACCAGGTGGTGGTGGTGGTTGTGGCGGTGATTGTCATGTGGTGGTGGTGGTGGTTGTGGCGGTAAAGCACCGAGCCTCGTTGATGCTTCTGTATCTCGTTCTCTCCCACAGTTCGTTTCCACATCGCTCACTTACATGAAATTCAGGTCAGTGCCAACACGGACACACACACACACCAATAGCAAATGCTCGCCTGTGCCAGGCTAGGTGCACCACTTTTGAGGCTACCACGTGAAGTGTGGAAGGCTCCCTGCTGGCAGGAGGTCACGGGACAGACCCAGCAGGTGCCACGGGTCGCCTGACTGAGATGACCGGCACACGTTCCGACTGATACCCCCCACCGTGCCAACTCGCTGCATTTTAGCCACCCGGCGCTCCGCTCGTTGTTGTGAGCGTCGCTCCTCCGCCCTCCGTTGTTGTTGCTGGAGGGCGATTGCACGGGGCAGACCCAGCAGGTGCCACGGGTCGACTGACCGAGATGACTGGCTGATGCACCACCTGTGCCCCCTACTGTGCCAACTTGCTGTGCTTTAGCCACCCGGCGCTCCGCTCGTTGTTGTGAGCGTCGCTCCTCCGCCCTCCGTTGTTGTTGGAGGGCGACTGCCTCCAACTGCCCAGTAGCGTCCTTCACGAGCCTCCTCCACTGAGGCCGATCTTGACACCGCTGGTACCAGTCATCGGCAAGTCCACTCAGCTCCACGTCCTCCTGTACCACATCACTCCATCTCTTCTCTAGCCCGTGCCGCGCCCGTCTAGCCCCCTCGATCCGGCCGAAACAAAATCTTTTTGGGCATGCGGTGTAAGGACCCCGCTGAGCCGCTGTGTAGTCGTTCTTGTTCATCATCATCATCATCGTCAACATCGCGTACATGCTTTCAACGCACAGCGACGTTGATTCTAAACGTGGAGGGAAGAAGCGGAGGACCCGGAGACAAAATCCACGCAGTGACCACGGGGAGAGAGACGCAGACTCCAAATATACAGCAGCAGCAGCAGCCGTCAGGGGTCGGGATCGAACCCAGGACCTCCTGCGTACCAGGCGAGGTGGTCGACATCTCCTAGCCACCGTGATGATGATGATGAGAGAGACGCAGACTCTAAATACACAGCAGCAGCAGCAGCTGTCAGGGGTCGGGATCGAACCCACGACCTCCTGCGTACCAGGCGAGGTAGTCAACATCTCCTAGCCACCGTGATGATGATGATGATGAAAGAGACGCAGACTCTAAATATACAGCAGCAGCAGCCGTCGGGTCGGGATCGAACCCACGACCTCCTGTGTACCAGGCGAGGTGGTCGACATCTCCTAGCCACCGTGATGATGATGAGAGAGACACGCAAACTCCAAATATACAGCAGCAGCAGCCGTCAGGGGTCGGGATCGAACCCACGACCTCGTGCGTACCAGGCGAGGTGGTCGACATCTCCTAGCCACCGTGATGATGATGATGAGAGAGACGCAGACTCTAAATACACAGCAGCAGCAGCAGCTGTCAGGGGTCGGGATCGAACCCACGACCTCCTGCGTACCAGGCGAGGTAGTCAACATCTCCTAGCCATGATGATGATGATGAGAGAGACGCAGACTCTAAATATACAGCAGCAGCAGCCGTCGGGTCGGGATCGAACCCACGACCTCCTGTGTACCAGGCGAGGTGGTCGACATCTCCTAGCCACCGTGATGATGATGAGAGAGACACGCAAACTCCAAATACACAACAGCAGCAGCAGCCGTCAGGGGTCGGGATCGAACCCACGACCTCCTGTGTACCAGGCGAGGTGGTCGACATCTCCTAGCCACCGTGATGATGATGATGATGAGAGAGACGCAGACTCTAAATACACAGCAGCAGCAGCCGTCAGGGGTCGGGATCGAACCTACGACCTCCTGTGTACCAGGCGAGGTGGTCGACATCTCCTAGCCACCGTGATGATGATGATGGCCCTCTGTGGCCCTGTGTGGCCAGTGTGGGCCCGTGTGGGCCACGCGGGTTTCTGTGCCTCGGCGTTATTATTTTTATTATTGTTGTATCGTCGATGTGTTGGCGTGCGTCCCAGCGTGGCGTGCCGCTTGGCCCTGGGCCCTCGCGTTGTTTGTGCGGCGGCGGTGGCGGCGGTGGTGGTGTGGGCTGTGGTGGTTGTGGTGGTGGTGGCGGTGGGGGCGGTGGGGTCTGCGGTGTTGGTGGCGGTGGTGGTGGTGGGGGCTGTGGTGGTGGTGGGTGGGGGCTGTTGTTGTTGTTGCTGCTGCTTGGCTGGGCAGGTCGCGTTGACCCGGGTCATCCGGACCGCCTCGTGCGCTCTCGCTCTCTCTCCCTTGCTCTCCCTCCCTCGCTCGCTCCCTCTCCCTCTCTCGCTTCCTCGCTCTCTCACTCGCTCTCCCTCGCTCCCTCTCTCTCCACCTGCCTGGTGAGGGTGCGGTACCACCCACACTGCCCCGTCCCCCGTGCGTCACCGTGCCGCACGCAACGGGCACCACCACCACCACCCGCTGCCACTGCCGCTGCTGCCGCTACTGCTGCCACTGCTGCTGCCGCTGCTGCCGCTGCTGCTACTGCTGCTGCTGCCGCTGCTGCCGCTGCTGCTGCTGCCACTGCTGCTGCTGCTGCTGCCGCTACTGCTGCTACTGCTGCTGCTGCCGTTGCTGCTGCTGCTGCTACTGCTGCTGCTACTGCTGCTGCCCCCTGCTGGGGACCCGGCTGCCTTTAGAAGACGACGTGGGGAGGGAGCCGCGTTGATCGGTGCCGATTCCTCCGTGTTTACCCCCCCCGTGTTTACCTCCCTCACCACCCCGTCTCACCCCCCGTCTCACCCCCCCGTGTCCCCCCCCGTCTCACCCCCCCCCACCCCGTGCCCCCCCCCCCCCCCACTCCGTGTCCCCCCCCCCCCCCCCTGCATGAGCAGCACAAGTACCGTGCAGCCAAGGAGGCGTATGAGCACCTCCTGCAGACGGACAACCTCCCAGCCACGGTCAAGGCAAGCGCACTACGGCAACTGGGTCAGAGGCGCTCACTCACTCGCTCACACTCGCTCACACTCGCTCGCTCTCGCTCACACTCACTCGCTCACTCGCTCACACTCACTCGCTCACTCACTCACACTCGCTTACACTCGCTCACTCACTCACACTCGCTCACTCACTCACTCACACTCGCTCACTCACTCACACTCACTCACAACCTCCCAGCCACGGTCAAGGCAAGCGCACTACGGTAACTGGGTCAGAGGCGCTCACTCACTCGTTCACTCACACTCGCTCACACTCAGTCACTCTCGCTCACACTCACTCGCTCACACTCGCTCACTCACACTCACTTACACTCACGCTCGCTCACTCACACTCACTCACGCTCACTCTCACTCACTCGCACTTGCTCGCACTCGCTCGCTCACACTCGCTCACACACGCTCGCTCACTCACTCACACTCGCTCACTCACGCACGCTCGCTCACACACGCTCGCTCACACACTCGCTGACTCACTCGCTCACACTGACTCGCACACTCACTTACTCACGCTCGATGATGATGTGATGTTGTTGATGATGATGTGGTGATGTTGGTGGTGATGTTGGTGGTGCCCAGGCTGGATGCATCACACAGCCGAGCAGCTGGGAGAGAAATCTCAGCGCGAGTCCTGCGCTATCCAGTGCCTGCAGAAGTCGCTGGAAGTCGACCCCAACTCAGGCCAGTCCTGGTACTACCTGGGCAGGTACGTGGTGTGGTTTGTGTGTGTGTAGCGTCTTCCAGTGGCTGGCGGGGTGAGTGGGTGAGTGGAGTTTGTGTGATCTCCCCCTGTTCTACAGAGTGGAGTTTGTGTGATCTCCCCCTGTTCTACAGAGTGGAGTGGAGTTTGTGTGATCGCCCCCTGTTCTACAGAGTGAGTGAGTGGAGTTTGTATGATCTCCCCCTGTACTACAGAGTGAGTGAGTAGAGTTTGTATGATCTCCCCCTGTTCTACGGAGTGGAGTTTGTATGATCTCCCCCTGTTCTACAGAGTAAGAGTGACTGGAGTGTGTATGATCTCCCCCTGTTCTACAGAGTGGAGTGGAGTTTGTGTGATCTCCCCCTGTACTACAGAGTGGAGTTTGTATGATCTCCCCCTGTTCTACAGAGTGAGTGAATGGAGTTTGTATGATCTCCCCCTGTACTACAGAGTGAGAGTGAGTGGAGTTTGTATGATCTCCCCCTGTTCTACAGAGTGAGTGAGTGGAGTTTGTATGATCTCTCCCTGTTCTACAGAGTAAGTGAGTGGAGTTTGTATGATCTCTCCCTGTTCTACAGAGTGAGTGAGTGGAGTTTGTATGATCTCTCCCTGTTCTACAGAGTGAGTGAGTGGAGATTGTATGATCTCTCCCTGTTCTACAGAGTGAGTGAGGGGAGTTTGTATGATCTCTCCCTGTTCTACAGAGTGAGTGAGTGGAGATTGTATGATCTCTCCCTGTTCTACAGAGTGAGTGAGTGGAGTTTGTGTGATCTCTCCCTGTTCTACAGAGTGAGTGAGTGGAGTTTGTATGATCTCTCCCTGTTCTACAGAGTGAGTGAGGGGAGTTTGTATGATCTCTCCCTGCTCTACAGAGTGAGTGAGTGGAGATTGTATGATCTCTCCCTGTTCTACAGAGTGAGTGAGGGGAGTTTGTATGATCTCCCCCTGTTCTACAGAGTGAGTGAGGGGAGTTTGTATGATCTCTCCCTGTTCTACAGAGTGAGTGAGTGGAGTTTGTATGATCTCCCCCTGTTCTACAGAGTGAGTGAGGGGAGTTTGTATGATCTCTCCCTGTTCTACAGAGTGAGTGAGTGGAGTTTGTGTGATCTCTCCCTGTTCTACAGAGTGAGTGAGTGGAGTTTGTATGATCTCTCCCTGTTCTACAGAGTGAGTGAGTGAGGGGAGTTTGTATGATCTCTCCCTGCTCTACAGAGTGAGTGAGTGGAGTTTGTATGATCTCTCCCTGTTCTACAGAGTGAGTGAGGGGAGTTTGTATGATCTCTCCCTGTTCTACAGAGTGAGTGAGTGGAGTTTGTATGATCTCCCCCTGTTCTACAGAGTGAGGGGAGTTTGTGTGATCTCCCCCTGTTCTACAGAGTGAGTGAGTGGAGTTTGTATGATCTCCCCCTGTTCTACAGAGTGAGTGAGGGGAGTTTGTATGATCTCTCCCTGTTCTACAGAGTGAGTGAGTGGAGTTTGTGTGATCTCTCCCTGTTCTACAGAGTGAGTGAGTGGAGTTTGTATGATCTCTCCCTGTTCTACAGAGTGAGTGAGTGGAGTTTGTATGATCTCTCCCTGTTCTACAGAGTGAGGGGAGTTTGTATGATCTCTCCCTGTTCTACAGAGTGAGTGGAGTTTGTATGATCTCTCCCTGTTCTACAGAGTGAGTGAGTGGAGTTTGTGTGATCTCTCCCTGTTCTACAGAGTGAGTGAGTGGAGTTTGTATGATCTCTCCCTGTTCTACAGAGTGAGTGAGTGGAGTTTGTATGATCTCTCCCTGTTCTACAGAGTGAGTGAGTGGAGTTTGTATGATCTCTCCCTGTTCTACAGAGTGAGTGAGTGGAGTTTGTGTGATCTCTCCCTGTTCTACAGAGTGAGTGAGTGGAGTTTGTATGATCTCTCCCTGTTCTACAGAGTGAGTGAGTGGAGTTTGTGTGATCTCTCCCTGTTCTACAGAGTTAGTGAGTGGAGTTTGTATGATCTCTCCCTGTTCTACAGAGTGAGTGAGTGGAGTTTGTATGATCTCTCCCTGTTCTACAGAGTGAGGGGAGTTTGTATGATCTCTCCCTGTTCTACAGAGTGAGTGGAGTTTGTATGATCTCTCCCTGTTCTACAGAGTGAGTGAGTGGAGTTTGTGTGATCTCTCCCTGTTCTACAGAGTGAGTGAGTGGAGTTTGTATGATCTCTCCCTGTTCTACAGAGTGAGTGAGTGGAGTTTGTGTGATCTCTCCCTGTTCTACAGAGTTAGTGAGTGGAGTTTGTGTGATCTCCCCCTGTTCTACAGAGTGAGTGAGTCTATGGGTATGTGGAGGGAAAAAACCGGAGGAGCCGGAGACAAATCCACGCGGTGACCACGGGGAGAGAGAGACGCAAACTCCAAATATACAGCAGCAGCAGGCATCGTCAGGGTCGGGATCGAACCCACGACCTCCTGTATACCAGGCGAGGTAGTCAACATCTCCTAGCCACCGTGATGATGCTGAGAGAGACGCAAACTCCAAATATACAGCAGCAGCAGGCATCGTCAGGGTCGGGATCGAACCCACGACCTCCTGTATACCAGGCGAGGTAGTTAACATCTCCCAGCCACCGTGATGATGCTGAGAGAGACGCAAACTCCAAATATACAGCAGCAGCAGGCATCGTCAGGGTCGGGATCGAACCCACGACCTCCTGTATACCAGGCGAGGTAGTCAACATCTCCTAGCCACACTGACGCCCTCGCCACCAACCCCCCCACTCACCCTCTCTCACCCCCCCCCCCCCCCCCAACCTCTCTCCCTCCCTTCCAGGTGCTTCTCCAGTATTGGCAAGGTGCACGATGCGTTTGTGTCGTACCGCCAGTCGATAGACAAGTCGGAGGCAAGCGCTGACACATGGTGTTCCATCGGGTGAGTGGGCGTGGGTGTGTGTGGGTGGGTGAGAGTGCGTGGGTGGGTGAGTGTGGGTGGGTGAGAGTGGGTGGGTGACTGTGTGGGTGAGTGGGCGTGGGTGACAGTGGGTGGGTGGGTGAGAGTGAGTGGGTGAGAGAGAGAGGGTGGGTGAGTGTGCTACGCTCACACGCACACTCGCTACACTCACACGCACACAATACGCTCACACACACTCACTACGCTCACACACACACACTCGCCGTGCTCACACACACATTTGCTACCCTCACACACACATGCGACACGCACACACTACGCTCACACACACACACACTCACCGTGCTCACACACACTCGCTACCCTCACACACACACACACTCGCCGTGCTCAGACACACACACACACTACACACACACGCACTCGCCGTGCTCACACACACACACACTACACACACACGCACTCGCCGTGCTCACACACACATGCGACACGCACACACTACGCTCACACACACACACACTCACCGTGCTCACACACACTCGCTACCCTCACACACACACACACTCGCCGTGCTCAGACACACACACACACTACACACACACGCACTCGCCGTGCTCACACACACACACACTACACACACACGCACTCGCCGTGCTCACACACACACACGCTACACACACACACTCACTACGCTCACACACACACACGCTACACACACACTCGCCGTGCTCGCACACACACACGCTACACACACACACGCACTCGCCGTGCTCACACACACACGCTACACACACACGCTACACACACACTCGCCGTGCTCACACACACACACTACACACACAACACACACTCGCCGTGCTCACACACACACACGCTACACACACACGCTACACACACACTCACTACGCTCACACACACACACACGCTACACACACACTCGCCGTGCTCACACACACACACTACACACACAACACACACTCGCCGTGCTCACACACACACACTCGCCGTGCTCACACACACTACACACACACACGCTACACACACACTCGCCGTGCTCACACACACACACACGCTACACACACACTCGCCGTGCTCACACACGCTACACACACACTCACTACGCTCACACACACACACACGCTACACACACAGGCTACACACACACTCGCCGTGCTCACACACACTACACACACACACGCTACACACACACTCACTACGCTCACACACACACACACGCTACACACGCTACACACACACACTCGCCGTGCTCACACACACTACACACACACGCTACACACACACTCACTACGCTCACACACACACACACGCTACACACACACACACGCTACACACACACTCACTACGCTCACACACACACGCTACACACACGCTACACACACACTCGCCGTGCTCACACACACTCGCGCTTGCGTGCGCCGCAGGGTGCTGTACCAGCAGCAGAACCAGCCGATGGACGCGCTGCAGGCGTACATCTGCGCCGTGCAACTGGACCACGGGCACGCGGCGGCCTGGACGGACCTGGGCATCCTGTACGAGTCGTGCAGCCAGCCGCACGACGCCCTCAAGTGCTACTGCAACGCCGCCAAGAGCAAGGCCTGCACGGACGGGGGCGCCCTCGGACAGCGCATCAAACACCTGCAGGTGTGGGGGCGGGGGGGGGGGAGAGAGGGGGGGGGAGTGGGGGGGTATGTAAGGGGAGAGTGGGGGGGGAGTGGGGGAGTGAGAGAGGGTGGGAGAGGGGGAAAGTGGGGGGGGAGAGAGAGTGGGGGCGGGGGAGGGGAGTTGGGGTGGAGATGGAGAGGGGGGAGAGAGTGGGGAGGTAGATAGGGGGGGAGTGGGGGGGGAGAGGGGGGGGTACAGGGGGAAAGTGGGGGGGGGGGAGATAGAGAGGGGGGGAAGTGGGGGGGGAGAGTGTAAACGTATGTGCATGTTTTTGTGTGTATACATGTGTCTGTGTGTGTGTATACATCCGTGTGTGTACGTCTGTGCGTGCGTCTGTGTGTATACATCTTCGTGTGTGTCTGTGTGTATACATCTGTGTGTGTGTGCATGTGTCTGTACATCTGCGTGTGTGTCTGCATGCATGCGTCTGTGTGTATACATCTGCGTGTGTGCATGTGTCTGTGTGCGTCCGTGTGTATACATCTGCGTGTGCGTCCGTGTGTATACATCTGCGTGTGCGTCTGTGTGTATACATCTGCGTGTGCGTCTGTGTGTATACATCTGCGTGTGCGTCTGTGTGTATACATCTGCGTGTGCGTCTGTGTGTATACATCTGCGTGTGCGTCTGTGTGTATACATCTGCGTGTGCGTGTGTCCGTGTGTATACATCTGCATGTGTGTGTGCGTGCATGTGTCTGTGTGGGTCGGTGTGTATACATCTGCGTGTGTGTCTGCATGCATGCGTCTGTGTGTATATATCTTCGTGTGTCTGTGTGCGTGCGTGCATGTGTCTGTGTGCGTCTGTGTGCGTCTGTGTGTATATACATCTGGGAGTGTGTCTGTGTATGCATCTGCGTGTGCGTGCATGTGTCTGCGTGCGTCTGTGTGTATACATGTGCGTGTGTAGTAGGTTTAAAGAGACTTGGACGACGTAGTCGGAGGCACACTTCTTTATTAAACGTTCCACTCTATACAGGCCAAGGTATACAACACTCGAAGGGGTATCGGCCCCTTCACCCGTCTAACAGGGAGATCCCACTATCTCTATCCCGGATAGCTACTCCCAGGTCCTCCACTACGGAGCTAGGGGAGGCTAGCTGATCCAGCTCTGGCCAAGCTGGGATCACGGCACCCTGAGTCACCAGACCGGCCCCTTCACCCGTCTAACAGGGAGATCCCACTGTCTCTAACCCGGCTAGCCTACTCCCAGGTCCTCCACTCGAGAGCTAGGGGAGGCTAGCTGATCCAGCTCTGGCCAAGCTAGGATCACGGCAGAGTCACCAGACCGGCTCTTACAAGAGCATCGGGCTCTGGGCTCTCGGGGCCACGCCACTGGCTTGCCCTGATCGGTCCTGAGAAGGACAGCGATCCAGGAGAGTCCCAGGGCCTATCTAGCCGGTCTTCCTTCTTCACTGGTTTAAGCTAAAACACTGAACCCCGAGCCCACCGGCTCACCGCCTTATATAGCAACTCCCCCACCGAGGGGTGGGGCCGTGGGGGATCCCAGCGCCGTTACAGCCCCCCAGGCTAAACGATGCAGACGTGGATGTAAGCATCCTTCCGCGTGCGGGCACAACCACCCCTGGTGTGTTTGTTCGCCCTCCCGTAACACCTCTACACGTGCGCCCCCCCTCCCTCCCGCAGAGCCAGCTGTGCAGCCTGCCCCCCGGCGTGCTCGCCAGCAAGCCCAAGATGCTGCCCAGCATCGAGGAGGCGTGGAGCCTCCCCATCCCCGCGGAGCTCACGTCACGTCAGGGGTCAGCCTCCAGCACGCCGCAGCAGGTGATACTCACACACACACCACATACACACACACATACACACAGAGCTCACACACACACACACACACTACGCTACACACACACATACACACAGAGCTCACGTCGCGTCAGGGGTCAGCCTCCAGCACGCCACAGCAGGTGATACTCACACACACCACACACACACGCCACGCTACACTCACACACACACGCCACGCTACACTCACACACACACTCACGCTCACACACACACAGCACGCTACACACACACACATCCACACACACACACCACACATACACACACACACCACGCTACAGTCACACACACACCGCACTCACACACATACACACACCACGCCACGCTACACTCACACACACCACGCTACACACACACGCACCACGCTACACTCACACACACATCACGCTACACTCACACGCACCAACTCACACACACATCACGCTACACTAACACACATACACACACCACGCTCACACACACACATCACGCTCACACACACCACGCTACACGCACCACGCTCACACACACACACCACGCTACACACACACCACGCTACACACACCACGCTCACACACACCCGCTACACACACAGAGCTCACGTCACCCCAGGCCTCGCTCACACTCTCCTCTACGCTCACACACGCACGTACGCGCTTCGCTCGCATACACACACACTTACGCGTGTGTATGCACACTCACTCACACGTGTGTGTGCGTGTGTGGGGAGCGGTATTGCAGCGGTTAGCACTACGCTACGAACCCGGCGACCCGAGTTCGATTCCCGCTCACGGCCAACACCACCAGTGAGGATTATTTTAACCCGTCCTGGGCGACTCAGCC